AAGAATGAGAAATTTAATGGTTTCAATCTGCCCTTGTTTTTTCTTTTTCTTTTTCTTTTTGCATGTTATCACTGTGCCCGTTTTTTGCTTTTATTCTTTGTTCCGCAAAGTGCGCTCTTTTAGTTTGTAGTGATGTGACAATATATAGTATGTGACAATATATATATCGTCAAATAGAATATATATATATATATTCCCTACCGTGTTCAGTTTTATCGTCTGATCGTCGTACAACTCTGCTTCGACAGAGAATCTCAGTCGTAGAATGGCAGCGACGCCAGCTTCATTCTTGAGTTTACCTCTCAGATGACACTCGGGGGATCCCTTGCACTGAAACCGAAAAAGGGAAAGTGAAGGAGAACCATGCTATTTTAAAGCTTAGTAAAAACCAAAAGTCTCAACTGCCGCATACCTTGAATTGCCTTCCTCCCCTTTCCCCTTTCTCCTGCATCCCTCAGCCACCCCTCTTCCATTGACTCTTTGCTCTGGCCTTCTCTTCCCTCACACCCTCTTCCCTTGGCCCTCTTTGCTCTACCCATCTTCCTTCACCCTCTCTTCCTCTCTCCCTCTTCCCTCTCTTCCTGTCCTTCGCCCCCACCTCTTCCCTCTCCCCTCTCCTTTTCCCCCTCCCCCCTCTCCGTCCCCCATCCTTCCCTCTCCCCTTTTCCCTTGCCCCATTGTCCTTGTTACTACCCATCTTCCTCCACATCAGAGGCACAATGATGTAGTGTGAGGTTGGCGACAAATGATGATGCTTCAGTGCAGCGGTATTTAGTGGAGATTCTGAAGACGTGTCTCATGTCCATCCCCTGCACAAAACGCCAACAACCTTGAAGAAAGTAGAAAGTGGGCTTGTCGGTAAAAAGACTAGCAGTGGATGGAGAAACAAGCATTGGTCTATGTGAATGATGTGCCCTGATGGTTTTCCATCGTATATGAGACAACGCATGCATGCATGCAGGATTTATGAGAGATGGCAAATTTGGGGGGGGGGAAGCACTAGTGAGGCTACCGTCTGCCCTCGAACACGGAACATCCTGATAAAACACAAAAAAAATGTATACAAGCTGTCTTTCCGGTCCAAAATGCGGGTGGTGGGTTGTGTTCGGGGGAAGACGGTATGCCGCTGGTTTTGGCGGAACAAAACAACTGATCCCAGGCATTCCATAGAACAGGGGCTCTGTTGGTGCAGGCTCAGTGGCATTTTGAAACTGCCTGATGCCTCTGTCATTGCCTGACACCGGTTCTGATGACACACACTTAGGTTGAAACCAGAAGTACGCGGCCCCAGCCTTGCAGTCCGAAGCTTGTTGCCACAGGAAAAAAAAAACGAGGCCGAAAAGTCAAACGCTGGGCCGGCCGTTGATAAGTTCGATCGGCAGTCGTGTTGTTGTTTGGCGCCTCCAGAATTTGAGGTGTCAGGCCTGCGGCCCAGGTGCCCATGTACTGGTGCTTTAAACCACCAGTACATGGGCACCTGGGCCGCGGGTCTAACACCTCAAATTCTGGAGGCGCGAAACGAAAACGGGGCCGCCGATCGAATTTATCAACGGCGGGCCCATCGTTTGACGTTTCGGCCTCGTTTTTTCTTGTGGCGACAAGTTTCGGACTGCAAGGCTGGGGGCGCATACTTGTGCTTTAAGGAAAAGAAGAACAAATCAGTTGTGGGGGATGTGGACGCCAGTTAAACAAACCCGTGAACGTAGAGTCATTGTAGACCCTTGTGAACTGCTCCCAAGCTCTCAGGTGTTGCCACATATATACGACCTAAAGCACATATATATATCGTCACAAACAGAACTGCCCGGTAAACCGTAGGCAGAGAGAGAGAAGAGGACAACAAACGAGGGGCTGTGACAAATATATATATATATATGTATCACCAAAAAGAAAAGGAAAGACACGAAAGAAAAAGAAAAGAAATCCAAAAAAAAGAAAAAAAAAGAAAAAAGAAAAAAAAAAGCAAGAATTCAGGGAATTATAGCAGTTTCGGTGAAAAATTCGCTGAAAATGACACCACCTATTAACCATTAGTGATGCCTTCATGGTCTGAACTGATGACCTGTTTATTAACAAAATTACAAGTATTACATGTTGTTAGTACTTGTTACCGTTCAGCCCCGCCGGGCTCTCAGTCCTCGTACTTTTTATATATTGAAGCTTTTTTGCCAATTCTTTACTGGTGATTGACTGATCCCTTGTCACTCTGCGTTTGTGACTCTGCGGGTCTGTTTGTTACTTTGTGGGTGTCTCTCTTGCGTTTTCGACTCTGTGGGTCTGTTTGTTACTTTGTGGGTGTCACTCTTGCGTTTTCGACTCTGCGGGTCTGTTTGTTACTTTATGCATTTGTTTCTGGTTTCACCAGTGTGCTTGCAACTGTGCACACTTGCGCAAGATAAATGTTTCCTTCTCTTTCCGTCTCTCGTTCTGCTCCATGCACAAGAGAGAGAGATCATTCCTGATGGTTCTCTGTGTCTACAGCCTGTCTTGATCCTCTGACCGTGATCCTCTGACCGTGATCCTCTGACCGTGATCCTCTCCCCGTGATCCTCTGTCTGACCTTTGGCTTGGCTCATGTCTACCTTTGGTTTCACTAAGCGTATGGCTGTAAGTCAACGTCATGCTTTGCGGGGTGCTCAATTCCAATGATCTCCAAATCTTTTCATGCAACACATTCCGATCGAATCGAATTGAATGAGACAGCCACATCTCTCTGTTAATGGGGTGCGCACTGCCAGTGTGGATGTCCTCGTCACCGTCTTTCGATGAACAGATGCCCCTGGCACCCTTTGCTGGAGTTCTCGCCATTGGCGTAGGTGACACAATGGTAAGGGGAAAAAATGGCGCAGTTGTATCCTTTTTTTTTTGTTGGATAATGGGCTCCAAAAACATGGCACAATCGTATCCTCTTCTTCTTCTTCTTCTTCTTCTTCTTCTTCTTCTTCTTCTTTTGGATAATGGGCTCCGATCTATTCGTGGGGAGCAGCACGTGCCAGGAACTGGGCCCAAAGTTACTAAGTTGTTGTTGGTTGTTTTTTTTTTTTTTTTTTTTTTTTAACGATCTAATATGTATTATGTATGCTTTTCAAGAATGCGGTTTTGTCAGCCTGCCTTTCACTTGCCCTGTAAAGATCCCACTTATTCTACACCCCTCAACAAGTCTCAAGTCATTTCACAGGTTCGAACTTCGAACTAGAGTTAAGCTCAACAGGGTCTTCTTTTGCCGCCTATTCTGCCAAAAGGCCATTCCCTTGGCTGTGGTTTTGCAGGATGGTATATAGGGAAAGGTTTTGTACTTTCGTCATGGCATTGTATGCTAGAGGCTACAAGCTTGAAATTCCGCAATGGAATTTATCATTTACTTCAATTTATATTTTTGAATCGTTTTTCCCTTTTTAGAACAATTTACTAATTAGCTTTAGAGTCTTGCTGCGTTTGCATATCCTTATCCAAATATTTAGAGAGAATGGTGTAAATACAATATACTAAATAGTGTAATGAACCCAAGTCGTGATGATACTTGTTGAGAATGCAAGTCCACAAATCGTCAACCAGCTGATGAGATATCAATAGTGAAATCGTTACCAGATACAGAGAGATGGATAACATACACAGACGAATAAGCAAGAGGTTGGGAAGATAGACTTAGRGGGTGGAGAAGAATACTGYGCCCACTTCCTCTTCGGGCTTCCCTCCCAATGTCGCCACCTCAGCAACAATGATTGGAACGATATCTGAAGTCCTCCTCAAAGTGCCACGTGGCACATCAATAGTCCATCATCAGCGCTGGAGCATCATCAACATCAAGATAAACAGGTACGTATCTCTGATCCTTCCACAGTCGTGATCACCTCCTGAGTACGATGAATCAGAACAGCTGTATCTCTYCAATGTAGCCGCCACATCAACACGAACACACGTGGCAGCGGCCACGTCAGCAGCAACGCGTGGCAGCTGCCACGTCAGCATACCAAGTAGACAAGAGCAAGCCAGCCAGCATGTCTGGCAAGCAGCGCGCCGCCGTATCTCACAAGTGCCAGCCAGAAGCCAGCGTCCAGCCAGCGTCTCAGCATAGAGCCAGCGTCGTCGTCCAAATAGAAAGTTAGCATTGACGTGACTGAATGAATATCAAATGCCGAAGAGTCAGTCCTTACGTACTGTTGACTCGGGGTCTGAGCCCCGGATGCTGCCTCCCTCAGTCGTCCAGATCTCAATACAGACGAGGGCTCAGATTATACCGAAACCGGAATCTTTTTTGGCCTCGATGCTGTCTTGGTACCTGCACATCACAAGTGAGTGTATCTGGCCAACGGCCTGTGCATGGTACCTTTGACTCTACAGTGGACTTTTACCTTTGAATTTCCATCTGCAGCGTTCGGTCTCACAGCCGGATGCAGCAGTCTGGGCCTGGGCAGTGCCTGGTCACACAGCCCAGTGTGGCCTGGGGCGGGTCTGGGCCCCGTGCAGACCTTGATGCACACGAATTACTGCATTCCTGCCGGCCCAATTCCGAGTTCCATCGCAGAAATGTTAAGACCTCAATCCTCTTTCGTATGCAGAGACTATGTCAGGAGCAGATTCAAGTAATTGCCTTTTGGTAAACCATCTATCTTCAGAAGGTGTTTGAGATTTAAATCTTACCTTGAATTGCTTCTGCGGACGTCCACGTCCTCCGGTGGAAAAATATTCATGCTCAGTAATTTTTTCTACTTCATATTCTCCATCCATGGAAGGGGGTATCATTGATGGTCTGTTTGGAAATTCATTTCCTTCCACATAAGGTAACAATTTGGAGGCATGGAAGACGGAATAGGTTCTAAGGTGAGGAGGGATATCTATTCTGTATGACGGTCCCTCGTCATCTCCTATAACTTTGAGAACCTCCCAGGGTCCAAAATAGACAGGCAGCAGTTTCTGCGATATGTTTTCTTCTAGTGAGAACTCTTTAGACCTGACCCAGACTAAATCTCCTACCTTAAATGATGAAGGTCGGCAATGTTTATCAACTTGGGTTATCATTTGATCTTGAGCTTTTTTTAAGTTCTCTTTCACCTTTTGTATGTCTTGCTGAAACATTACTGCATACTCACGAGTCCCTGGTGGTAATCTAAGAAACTGGTCCCGAGTTAGAACATCAATGGGACGTGTGGGTTTCCATCCTTTGTGCAGTGCGTTAGGAGAACGACCAGTTGCAGTGTGAACACTACTATTATACGCACTGGCTATCTTGGGCAGGTTCTCATCCCAATCAATTTGATCAGGCCTCACATACATGCGCAACAGTTGTTGGCACAGACGGTTCATCTGCTCACTTTGGCCATTCGTCTCAGGATGTCGTCCTGACGACATAGTCAAGCGAGTACCGTATGCCTCCATCAACTTTTGCCATGGCATACTTGTGAATCTTGTATCTCTGTCAGACACAATAGATAGGGGAAACCCATACTCAGTTACCCATCGCATCTGAAACTTTTGAATCACAAGTTCAGTTTTTGCTTCAGCAGGTAAGGGAATGAACATGGCGTATTTAGAGAAACGGTCTACAATCACCATCACCTGGCTATTGCCGTTTCGACTCTTTACAAGGCTCATAAAATCCATAGAGATGGACTCACCTGGTTCGCTAGGAATCGGCAATGGTCTCAAGAGACCCAGTGGGTTCTCGTGTGAAGGTTTGTTCCTCTGACACACCAGACAGGTACGAACATAAGTTAGTACGTCTTCCTTCATACCCTTCCATTCAAAACGTTCTCTCACTTCGGCATATGTTTTCTTGAATCCAAAGTGTCCTTCAAAATCATGACATTCCCCAATCAACAAGCTTTTAATCTCTTCTTTATGAGGGATGCACAATCTTTGTTCGGTTTGGTCTATTAAGAAAAGTAAACCATCAATGATCTTATAGCCAGGAAGTAGGGATGGATCTTTGAGTACAGTGTCAATGATAGGTTTCCATATAGGATTTGTCGCGTATCCTTGACGAATCTTTTCTTTTACTTCCTGCCCTACATCCAAATAAGAGACAATTGCTCCAAAGAAGTCACTTCTCCTAGACAATGCATCTGCCACCACATTCGACTTTCCTTTGATCATTTTCAACTCAAAGTCAAAGGTATCAATAAAGACAGACCATCGTACTAGTTTGTCAGAGAGTCTGCGTTGTGTCTTGATCCACTTCAGGGTAGAGTGGTCAAAATACATCGTGAAGTGTCTCCCTAACAAATAGTGCTTCCAAGTTTGCAATGCACAGACTAAGGCATACAGTTCCCTCTCATAGGTAGAATTGGCAACCTTTTCAGTAGGTAGGCGTGCAAACATAAACTCAACTGGTTTGTAGCCCTTTCCATCATCCTGTTGAAGGACAGCACCAATACCATACTGACTTGCGTCAGTTGTGACAATGAAGGGAAGAGATGGGTCAGCGATTTTCAACACAGGGTAGTGAGTCAAAACATGCTTTAGTTTCCGAAAGGAAGACTCACAATCCTTATCCCATAACCACATAGTTCCTTTCTTCAGCAGTTTTCTCATTGGTGCAGCAATCAGTGAGAAGTTTCTAACAAACTTCCTATAGTAGTTTGCTAAACCAAGGAAGGAGCGAAGATCAATAAGGGACTTAGGTTGTGGCCAATCTCTAATCGCTGCAATCTTCTTTGCCTCTGACCTCAGCCCATCTTCATTTACTATATGTCCTAAGTACAAAACTTTGGACTTAGCAAATTCAGATTTCTTGGGATTTAACTTAAAATTGGCCTCGCGCAATTTCCCAAGTACTAGACGTAAGTGTTTTTCATGATCTTCTAGTGTTTTGCTATACACTAGAATATCATCCAGATATACAATGACGAACTGGTCCAACCACTGTCTAAACAACTCATTCATAGATCTTTGGAAGGTCGCTGGTGTTACGGACTCCGCCAGGGCTCGATCCCTGGTCTATCTTTTTGTTGTTTCAGCTGCATCCCGTTTTCGGCCTGGCACCCTTTTTCCAAACCCCTCCTTTGGTACCGTAGGATTTTGGACAAGTGGCGCCATGCTGCAATTCGGGCGCCACTTTCAAATACTGCATTTTTCAGTTCTGCCCTCGGGGCCTTTGCAAAAATGCCCCTGGTGCCATACGTGTCACCGGTACTTATACCGGCTCCCCGTACGGTACGGGGACCAGTCTCGTACCAGTTCTCTGTTGTTGTACTCGTACTCAGTGTGACTTGCCGTTTCGGCATTCGGGATCCAAGACTTCGACTTTGTGCCTTGCCACCGTGTCTGCGTCTGACCCTCAGTCCGAGTCCGTCGTGTCGAGTGAGTGAGTGTGTGTGTGTGCTCTCACTCTCTCCCTCTCTCTCTCCTGTCCCTCGGCTCTCCCTGTCTCCCTCAGCCTCCCGCTCGTTACACTGGTATCGGAGCGGTTCGAACCCGCCCTATGTCGCACTTTTTTCTAGTTCGGCCACTTAGGGCGACCAGAAAGCCAACAGGCTGTCACGCAGGATTTGTTGTTGATTGCAATAAATAAAATGAATTAAATAATGCAAATCCCTTCCTGTTGTGTGCGTCCGGCTTCGAGCGAGACCCTTAAATTACGATCTTCGCCGGACCCCGGTCTTGGGAATCTTTTATTTTGATTCGGAACAGCAGAGAATCATGCAAATAACAATCATAAAATTATGGGGTGCTATGCATGCATCAATTATATCAGTCTGATTTTGAGAACTGTGACAGAATCATTAAAGAATGCAAACCTCAAGCATGGCTAGGCAAAGAAGCAAGACTGACTGACTCAAGCAAAGACGAAGGCAAATAGATGAGGGAAGAATGAGAACTCATAATAGT